ACTTTCACCAAGAACAACTTGGCATGATATTAGCCATCGCAATAAAACGTAATTAAAAATAAAAACAATTAACATACTTCAAAATGTACCTGTTTATAGCGATCTTTGGCATTGAAATATCGTTTCTGGTTGAAGAAACGGTTGCCAAAGCTCCGCAGTGTGTTGACAACTTCAAGAAGTGTGGACAGAGGAACGGTGTTTTGCTCCCCCTGAGGAGGAGAACAGAAATCAAAGACTGTTTCTGATCTGTGCTATAAAAGCAAAAAAGTAAAGGCTTTTAAGTATGTGTGGTAAAGATGCAGATCTGTCTGAGGTTGGTAGTACTAAACAGAGCACCTGCAGCCTCCCTACCAGACTCATTGCAATAAAGTCATCCACTTGTCCTGAGTCAAGGTAGTCGAGGATCTGAACCTCATACAGAACCACAGCTGCTGCGGGGATAAATGGAGGGCATCCCATTTCCCCGTAAGCATACTGAGGCTGGAGGAGGAACCGAGAGAACTCTCCTTTCTTCATGGTCAACAGACCCAGCTCCAGCCCGGCCAGTGTCACATCTGTTTGAAGAATGACTTTTAAAACTGGTATATTTCAGGCAGGAAAACAAAAAAACTCTCAGTTCAGCCATTGTAGAGCATTTCTCACCTCTCCCCAACTTCATCATCCGGGGGTATTTGAGGTTAGTCGTGGTTTCAAAAGGCTGATCAGAATATTCCAGGAATCCTGAGTAATGGACTGTGTGGAAGTAAAACCAGACCATCAGTGATGTAGCAGCTCAACCAGCTCACACAATTCACAAGTTATTGCCCATAAAATGTCAAATGTGACCTTCAGGGGACAGCTGGGTGCAAGGTTCATGACAATCTGAACAACACTCTACAAGAAGTAGAGATTTTTGTGAATTGTGGCTAGACAAACTAAAAATACTGACCTCACGTATATGATGATTTACAACTGTAAGAGGCTTTAACAAGAAACGTGTACTCATACATACTCAGTACTGAAGCGTTTTCAGGGACAGGCGGGCCCTCTCCTGGCTGTACCACCTCCTTCAGGATTCCTCCATCTCCTATGATGTCATTCATCCGCGGACGTAGCTGCTCAAAAGGACTCTACGACGGAAAGAAGATTAAATGACACTTGGCAAAAGACACACATTTTATACTCAAACACCGACCGCTGCATTCTTATGTGTGACACAAAGTTGGTATAGATTTGCTACTGAAATGTATGTGTACTTCAACGACCAAAAATGTTCATAGTGTGAGTGTAAAAATGTTTTTGAGTTAAGTGTGATTTCATATGGAATGATTCATGACCTTCACATAACAGAATTGTGCAAATGTCTATAGCACCCTTCATTTCGTTATATTTTGTTTACAAGGAGCAAGAATTTCTCATTTTTTAAGTGGTTCCCCAGACTTTATGGAGGTCTTCAAAGGTTTTCTTTGCTGCTCTGCTATTTTACACATTTTAGTCCAGTCCTTCTACCTAACTATTTTCAAAGTTATTATTTGTTTGTTTGTTTAGCCACTTAAAACTGACCAATGAATCATTAAAGCATAAAAAAGCCCCCAACTCAAGGCACGAAAATGTTGGGTATACACATAACAAACAACTGATTTTAAAATTGTATCTTTATCTTTGTTACGAGCAGTTAATCACAAGAACACAGCACGGCATAGTCGTTTTCTTTAGTTGAAAATTTTTTTTTAAAAAAAATTATACAACAAAAATATCCCTGTGTCCTCAAAAAAAGAAAAGTGAACAAATAGAGGAAAATAGTGGTAGACCAGGTAAGGGTCACAAAGGGCTGTACACACACACACACACACACAAAGAGTAAAATAAATACCAATATGAAATGGCATAATAGGCAGCAAATAATGACACAATAAAATAGGCTGGTAGTTAAAAATAATAATAAATAAAATTCTTACAAAAAATAAATCTTACTGCTTTTTAGCACACAGCGACAGTGAAAAAACAAAGCGTAGTTGTAGTAGGAGACAAGGCTCCGTCCCATCTAGCTTTTAGTCATTTACGATGAACAATATTGTGCCTGTGAACGAAGACAGTGAGCAGCAGTGTATTTTTTAATAAGCCGTTACACACCTGGAATGAAAATCAGTGACATGGTCTTATGGTCTTAGAGATTAATCCCAGTTTGACATTTTCGGTTCAAATTGGTAGGTATGTACAGAGAAATGTCAGGAAGGAAGGAGGTAGAACAGTGAGGCTCTGGGATGTTTTATAAATGACGATCTGATTGTGATACCTCATACAATACTAGTTAGAAAACACCTTCATTTTTCAGCATGGCAATGATCCCAAACACCCCAAAACACCCACAGTCATGGACTAGCCTCCCCAGAGCTCACAGCTCAACTTTACTGAAACAGTGTGGGCGTATCTTGATAGAGAATAGAACAAACAGCAGCCAACATCCAAAGAAGAGCTTTGACCGTCCTCCAAGAAGCCTGGAGAACTATTTCTGAAGACTACTTAAAAAATGAATAGAAAGCTTGGTTGTGTTGTTGACAAAAACGTGGTCATACCAAATACTCACTCGTTACAATCGTGCAAACTCTGTTTTTGCACGTTTCAATGAATTGCTGCAACTTTTACTAGCAAAATATGAAGAAAATTTAATAAAAACCTTTGCACAGCTATGTGTGTGAGGTATTTAGAGTAAATACTGTTGACACTAATCAGAATTCTCTTGCATGTAAAATCATTGTGTTGAACTGGCAGTGAAGTACATAACCAGCTGACACTTAAAGCTAACGGTGAACTGTACCTAATTTTACCAAGCTAGTTGTGTCATTTCAAACCTGGGCACTATTTAAAAATAATAGCCTACATAAAGAATATATGTTTTTTCTAGACTAGCTGTAATATTATATTATAGTGGTTATATTTTTTTAGCAAAAATTCAAACTTTGCTAGCATTTGGCCAGTTAGCTGAGCTAGCAACTTTCAGGCTCGCTGACACATTTACTTACCGGAGACCTCGTTTCGAGTGGCTCCTCGTCGTTTATTAGCCTCCGCAAACTCGATATTAACCCGTTCCTAGACATTTACTCGGTGGTATGAGTTAAAGCCGTTGTAAACAGCGCTGTTACAGAGATAACTCTGTAAAGCCAGTTCCCTAGTTTGTTCTGGAGCTCAGGCTTGGGTTAATTACACCACGTGACCTTGACGAGCGGCCCAAACTGTGCGCGTGTCTGCACATTTAGGTGAGCCAATGCCAACTATACACGGGGCTGGTATTACTAATCCCAAAACTGAAACTTTTAGCTTTTATAAATTCAGTTTATTTGGGAAGAGCACTGTATCATCATCAGTCTGCAAATTCCGCCCTTAACGAGCCTTTTGAACTATTGACTATTTTGAAACTGGGGTCTGTGTTGTTTTAACAGACACAAATCGTCATCCTACTTTAATTGCCCGTTGATATAAAAAAGACAGACTACAAATAGAGACACACAGATAAAAAAGAAAAGAAACAATAAAAATATCCTTGTTCATAAAACTTTTAATTCAAATTCCAAACAGATTTTATAACAAACATTAAAGTTATTTTTGTGTAGATGTGCACTGAGTTTATTTAGACAAAACTGTGTGGCCACAGTTGAGCAACAAATTATATGTGAATATATGTAACAAATTCTGAAGCTTACACTAACATAAGAAATAATGATAATTTTTTTTTTTAAAAAAGACAAAAACTATCTATGCACACATATCAGTCAGTAGATTACAGGTAGTATATAATTCACAGTTTTTCCAACTGCAACATCTGTTGCTTTAAGCTTATGTTTAAAGTTTTAAGTGTGTAAACAAATAATACAAAACTGAAATATAATAAACTGTACAGAAAAGGTTAAAAAAAGATGTTAAATTGACAAAAGTAGGCCATTTGTATAAAGTGGGATCAGACTATTACTTGAACTGAACTAAGCTGGTAAGGAAACAAAGTCAGTCTTGTGGTTCTCTTTAGAATATGCACAGTATATATAACTTTATTGACATACTTTAGTTGCTAATACCAGTAATAACACTGTCTGAACTAAAATGCTTCATTTTTTATCAAAAATTCTGCAGTTCAGCCGGATAGACAAAGTTGCTTCTGAAAAATTTGTAGGCCATTAGCTGTCCTCCAAATATCATCATCACCAGGCCTGTACCTGTGGAGACAAGAGTTAAATGACTGCAAGAGCAGCTGAATCTGCAGGCATGATGTAAGTGAGCTAATATATGTCTGGATAGAAGAAATGTAATATCTTGAAATAGATTGGAAGCTTGAAAAACGAAGTGGATTTTTTTTTGTCTTCTGCAAATGAGATTGGAGTCAGACAGAGGCACGGACAGAACAATGAAGGAGTACAAATCTTACCCAGAGCCATCCACCAGTGCTCAGCTGAAGGGAAGTCTGACATGACTGCAAAACACACCAGAATACAATTTAAATTTTGTGACAACAATTACTATCAAACTAATGAATACTGACTGTGACCTCGGGGAAAAAGACAAATATGAAAGCTTTATGCTTGGATAAATTGATTCCAGTTTAGCGGTGAACATTCAAATGAAATAGTGTCCGTGGGTTTATACGCTGAGCTGCAGCCTCTATATCCAGTTACATAACCAGCCCTCCAATCCTATCAGCTGTTCCGCTCAATTGATCCACTTTGTGTTTCTGCGTGCGTGTGTGTATACCTGCGACAGTCATTGCAATGTGGAGAAGTGTGACAGTTATGGCATAGTCCCAAACCCACTCCTCCACAATCCAGGCAAACACCAGTCCTCCCAAAATATAGGTCACTTCTGTGGAAATTACTCCGACTGCAGGAAGAAAGCAAAAAAGTGGCACATCACCTAACAGAGCTGCTTTTGCTTTAACAATAAACTGCTATGTCCAGTCACATGCGACTGTGATAATGCTGAGCCACTAGAAAATGACATTTCAGACTGTTATCAGCACTCCTGATACTGAGCAGGAGCCCTTCAATCTTTTGTTCAGGTCAGGAGATTCCAGAAACAACAACCAATGAAAATCAGAGGCCTGACAGGATGAAGCTGGAGCCAGGGCTGCAGCGCAGTGACACCAGAGATGTCCGGAGAGGCGTGAGGATGATCGCTGGCTGCAGGCCCAGCAGTCAAATGCTAGATGGGGATATCGAGAGGGCCAACGGGCTTAAATGTTTATTTGGAAGATTTGGCACACAGCCTTGCATTAACTAGCAATGCTGCCACCACCTCCGGACACATGTCTGGAGAAGGTCTCTGTTCCGATACCACGAGGGCCCATCCCAATGCCAGCAACTCAGCGATTGCAGTCTGGTAGCCTCTTAGTTCACACATCATGAAGGCTAACTGCTTGCAAAACACACACACACATACATACCAGGGTACACTATCAGATTCATGTTCTCTGATTTCTCCAACACCTTTAAAAAAGATGACTCCTATGTAGGTTACTGCAGTGGTGTCCTGGATCATAGATTACTTTACCAGATTTTATGAGTAATTCCCATTTTTGAGCAGGACTGGAACAACACAGTACACCGCGACCTGTTTACTTTCCTCTTTGAGCTGCAAGCTTAAGACTTAAAGTTCACAGCAGTCTTTTCTTGGATTAATGAGAAATAAATCATCTTATTTGAAGCTGACCTTTCTCTCCTAAGTAAGCCCATTTAGGAAAAATAACCTTGGTTATTTGGAGAATAATAAGAGAAACACAAGGAGTTCTTTCACTTTGTTCATTGGTCAAGTTTCATCCTTAACAACCAAAATATGCAAAAAGGACATGAGAGAAAAAAGGGTTGCATTATTCTGATTTCAGAATTTTCCTGCTTTACTATCTGGAGCTTCAATCCACCATCTGCCCGGAGTCTTTCTGTGTGGAGTTTACATGTTCACCCAATGTCTGCGTGGGTTCTCTGAGGGTACTCTCACTTTGTCCAACAGTCCAAAGTTTGTTGACAACATAACAGCGTCTATAGATAATATGTTGAAGTGCCCTAGTATTGAAATATGCATGGAAAAAAATTCAATAAAGTTATGTGTAAAGAACACCAGGAACAAAACTATAGCAAATATAAAAATAAATACATTGGTATTATAAGAAGGATTATTTTAATAAAAAGCTAGAGGATAATAAAAATAACACTAAAGGTACATGGACTATATTAAATAGTATTATTAGAAATAAACAAAAGCTAATTACCTAGACAATTTCACAGATACGGTTATTACAAAAAGAAACGACTTAACAGATTTAATGATTTTGTTGTCAGTGTGGGTCCAAATCTGGTGAAGGAAATAAAAAAAATACACTGCCTGGGGAGAACAATGTAGGTGAGAACTGTGGACTAGAAAGTCCAAATTCAATACTTCTGGAAGTTGCAGAGATTATACAAGAAAGACAGATAGTGATGACATTGATATGACTATACTGAAGAAAGTAATTCATGAAATTATGTGTCCAATTACATATATATGTAATTTATCACTCAGAACAACTAGATTAACATCTATGGTAATGATGGAGTTAGTGTAAAATATTACCGAACATATACATAATAAAAAATATGCAGTGGGGATATATATTGACCGGTAAGAGGCTTTTGATACAATTGACAATAAAATATTGTTACAAAAAATTGAAAGATATGATGTGAGAGGGGCCAAAAACAGCTGGTTAAAAAGTTATCTTGATGACAGACAGCAATTTGTACAAATTGGTCAGTCAAATCTGTGTGCTTGAGTATTTTACCTGTGGTGTCCCACAAGGTTCAGTATTGGGTCCCAAACTATTTAATATGGCACCTGTAGAGTGAAAAACCTGTGTGCATCTATGCATGTGCATATGGATATATATAGGTATGTAAGTGTGTATTTATTTATGTATGTGTTTATATATGTATGCATTTGTATGTAGATATGTCTATTGTTACCATTTTGATTAAGAGATTATATGCAAACTTAGGGGCAGGACTGGATGATCCACTGCTTCTTTCTGCTCACCTTTTGTTTGGGTTTATAGATCATTATGTTGGGAATTTTTTATTTCAGTTTCCTGTGTTTGTTTGTTTGTTTGTTTTTTAAATTTTAATAATTTGAAAAGAAAGAAAGAAAGAAAGAAAGAAAGAAAGAAAGAAAGAAAGAAAGAAAGAAAGAAAGAACGAACGAACGAACAAAAGAAAGACAGAAAGAACGAAAGAGCCCGTAGGCCTGAATGTGAGTGAAAATCTGTCTCTCTGTGTTAGCTGTGTGACAGACTGGCAGTCTGTCCAGGGTGTGCTCGCCCTATGACAGCTGTGATAGGCTCAAGCCCTTTATATATATATTTAAACACAAGAATTCACGTGTCCCTCAAATTTAACAGTTTCCTTGTCCCAAGTTCTCAGTTATGTGCGCATTATATGCAGTAATTAAATCAGAGCCACTTTCAGGTGCCCGCTTCTTCACAAGCGGTCGCCACAGTGGGTCTTTGAAGTCAGACAATTGTGAGAACAGATGGAATACACAACGTTTTCTTCTAGATCATATAATCAAAATATGGTCAATGTGTTTTATTTTGAATTAAAACATATTTATTTATTTCATTTTTAGCTTCTGAAAAACTGGAAAGGAGCTAAATTATACTGTAGGTAATTTTAATTACAGCACAAGTCATTTTAAATAGATAATTCTGTGTAAAAACGAATGACTGTAGCTACTGTCTTTCGATGAATGCTGCAATGTGCCAGAAGATGCTTTATGAGTCTCTCTGTTGGGGCAAAAGCAAACAAATATAGAAAAGGCTAGCTCGGTCTGTCGGCTGGAGCTGCATGTAGTCATGCAAAAGGAGCTGCTATCAGAACTCCCCCCTCAGCACAGTGTTCTGGTTAGTCAGAGGAGAATTATATACTAAACATGACTCACTGCAGCACTGAACGTCACAGGACGTCCTTGCTTCCTTCTTGTGGCTGTCAAGTTACACAGTTCCTCCTCTTTCTGATGAAGTAGTATAATTTTACAATTTCTACAGTCTTGAGCAACTGTTATGAAGCAGTTCCCCTGCAGGGGTTATTAAAGTCTTTCTGATTTCCATTCAGGCTTTAATGCACTAAAAACACTTAAAGGCTACCTATCATAGTCATTTACATCTCTTTCTGTAAATAAACAAAACAAAGAAAACCCTATATTTTACC